AGGTCTTTTCCAACCTAAATGATTCTATGATTCTATGAGTTGGAAAAAGCTTTTCACCTCTTCCAAAAAAGGTTTTGAAGGTTTGCCAGTGTAACAGCATGGCTGACGTGATCTGATGTGGAAGACAGTCCCACTTCAAGGACTTGCTTGGATATCCAAATCAGGTTGATTTGAATGGGATTTAAGTGCCTAATTATTCTTGAGAACCTGGGTTGAAGCTGCAGCAAATGATACAATGGGAGGCCAGTGGGTAGATGGGTCAATGAAATAGGTACCTATAAACAAAGCAACGTCCTTAGATAGGGAGAACATGCAAAGGCACATGAAAACTCTCAAGATAAACCTATAAAAGCAGATATCTGCAGTTTGTGTTCAAAAGAAGTGCCTGACAAAACAGATCTCATCTGCCATTAAGGCATATTTCATGGAAAGGGAAAGACGTATACCAAAATTTTGCAAGTTTACAACAGCAATATAAGATACAGGAATGGTAGCTGAACAAGAGCAATTGCTGGGTGGAGAAGAGAGACTGCTTTAGATTACCAACAAAGTACACCTGATCAGAGAGAGCTCTGAACAGTTTCTTCATGCTGTGCAGCAGCCTGGATGAGTTATCTTGGAGCAGTTAGGAGTGACGGTAAATCTGGTTTGTGAAATGGCTACCTTTGCCAAAGGTACCTGGGTGTGATGAGACCATTCCAAAGCTAATACTAAGTGTGTCCTAAAAAGTTTACTTTGATAGGAGGTTCTCCATGTGGCATGTTAAAGAAAGTGATTCTCATAAGCCAGCAAGGACTGTAACGTCTAAGGAATCTGCATTAGAGAGAAAGGAGTTTCAGACATCAGTACAGTCCCATTCTGCAGCCTGTTTAAGCAAAACTTTCTCTCTACCTGACAGTGAGGTGATATTAAAAGACCAAAAACTAAAGGAGGTGGACAGAAGGTATGCTCACATGCCAGAGAGTTAGCTGCAGTACCTACGTGTGCATTTTCAGTTTCAGCAATAAAGAGGAAAAGTCCTCACATAACAAGGCGATGCAGCATTACATATGCCCTAAAGTGGCAGTATACACTCAGGTAGTTAATCCGCAGTTGCAGGCGTACTGTTACCCGAAGCTAACATATAATGGGCCCTCAAATCTCATATTTGATATACAATCACTTCCATGTAGCCTTTAAGTTCTGCTAACCTCTCAGCCAAATGTGTATTATCTGTGTAACACTGATATAAAATGCTATAAAACAACATTAAAGAGGTAAAAACCCCAAACCCTTAAGGCTAACGGCATGTTCATAAGAGTTTAGAATTTTGTCACTGGATTTTGAGTAACACACAAACACCCTTTCACATGTATATGAGTCCAGAGACTGAAGTCCGTCAGTTCACCCCATTCCAAAGGCAAGGGTAAAAAGACATACCTATCAGGACAAAGTAAAGCTTGTTGTCGTTTAACCCGGCAGGCAGCTAAACACCACACAGCCATTCGCTCACTCTCCCCCTCCGCAGTGGGATGGGGGAGAGAATTGGAAAAAAAAAGTAAAATTTGTGGGTTGAGATAAAGACAGTTTAATAGGACAGAAAAGGAAGGGAAAACAATAATAATAATATACAAAATAAGTGATGCACAATGCAATTGCTCACCACCCGCCGACCGATACCCGGACAGTTCCGGAGCAGCAATCACTGCCCCCTGGCCAACTCCCCCCAGTTTATATACTGAGCATGATGTCATATGGTATGGAATAGCCCTTTGGTCAGTTTGGATCAATTGTCTTGGCTGTGCCCCCTCCCAGTTTCTTGTGCACCTGACAGAGCACGGGAAGCTGAAAAAGTCCTTGACTAGTGTAAGCACTACTTAGCAACAACTAAAACATCAGTGTGTTATCAATGTTATTCTCATCCTAAATCCAAAACACAGCACTATGCCAGCTACTAGGAAGAAAATTAACTCTATCCCAGCTGAAACCAGGACAAAGCTGAAGTACAGAGTTGAGTGCCAAGTTTGTACACTGGAAACAGTAAGCAAATATCCCCAGTTAGGGGAATCCATAATTACCTCTTTTGTAAGTCTACAAATCCTGGCAGTCAGAATGTACCTCTTATTAACCACCCAAATCCTTTTTAAACTCATAAGTTCTGTTTAGAAAAAAAATCTGCTGATGTTGAGGGGCAGATTTTTTTTTTTTTTTGTGCATGGTTTGAAAAAGCACTCCCTTTTGTTTTCTTTAAGCTTGCTGCTGCTTTGTTTATGCCAGTATTAGTCATAGGTCAAGTATTGGGAGAAACTGCCTATCAGTTCCCCTTTCACCTTTGCTACACTTTTCAGGATTTTATAGACCTCTGTCACAGATCCTCTGTCATAGTTCTTTTCATAGGTTTAGCTACACTGTTTATTCCATCTCTGCTTTTCCAGACTGAGTGCCAAGTTTGAATCCTCTTAAAAATGCTTCATTTTTACTGCATGAGATTCAGATTTTTCTGAAACATAAGCCCTATTTCACTGTTTTGCAAAGTCAATATCTGAAAAACTTACTTAACAGGAATAGTTATTTCTAAAAATAGAAGTTATGATGTTACCCTGCAAACCATAAAATATATTTGAATACACATTTTAAAAAATCCAAAATAAATCCAACATTCATTTTATAAGAATAAAGTAACCTAACTTATACTTTATTTTTATAATGCCAGTTGATACTTTAAATAAGTATCACTGGCCTGGGATATGCAAAAAGAATGCCACAAGCTGGAGAAATGGGCGAACAGGAGTGTCATGAAGGTCAGCAGAAGCAAAAGCAAAGTTCTGCTGCTGGGATGGGATAACCCCATGCCACAGGACAGGCTGCACCCCAGCTGGACAGACAGCAGCTCTGCAGAAAATGACCAAGGGTCCTTGTGGACAGGAAGTTGAATATGAGTCAACAGTGTGTGCTTGCAGCCACAGAGGCAACAGCATCCTGGGCTATAGGAGTACAAGTGCAGCCAGCAGATTGAGAGAGATGATCCTTCTCCTCTGTTCAGCACTTGGGAGACATCTGAAGATATGTATCCAGTTTTGGGCTCTCCAGTACAAGAAAGACATTGATGTGCTGGAGCAAGTCCAGCAAAAGCCAAGAAGATGGTTAGGACCTGGGGACCATGATGTGCAGAAAGGAGCTAAGAAAGATGAGCTTGCTCAGGATTCAGAAGAGAAGGCTAACTGGAGATCTTATTGCTGTCTTTAACTACCTTAATGGAAGGGCATAAAGAAGACAAAGCTGTACTCTTCTGAGAAATTGAGTGTGACAGTGACAGGACAAGAGGCAAGAGACACAAGCTGCAACATGGAAAATTCAAACTGGATATAATAAATTTCCTATAATAAAGTGTTTTCACTATAAGGATCATAGGAGATATTCAAAACTTGCCAAGACATAGAATGGAACAACCTGAACTAACTGGACCTGCTTTGACTAGGAGTTTGGCTGAGAGGCCTGCAAATGACCTTTCAACTTTAGTATTTTATGAGCCTATGACAATTCAAAACATAGAGAATCCTTTAAAGAAAAAAAGGCAGGAGTGTAGAGGAAATCAGCAATGACAAGGTGGACCACAGGATGAACGAAGGTCTCCTCAAATGAAAGCTTGCCTTGCACCACATCAACAGTCCTGAGCAAAGAGGCCCTGAGCAACCTGAAGGAACTCGGAAGCCAGTTTTGCATATGATTGAAAGACAAAATCACAGAGAAAATAATTTGGGACGTCAAAGATTAGATTCTTCACCCGCTGGAGAAAGTTCATGGGGTCTGTATGCTCTGTAAATATCCTGGGGACATAAGAAGGGGGATTGGGACACTGAGTGGCTTCAAAATCTAAACCACATGGTGTTCCTCGCAAAAAAAACACGGAAGGGACTGAGCGATGCTCAGCCAGGATCTGCCCGCAGGGTAGTACGGGGTCCGTAAGCACAGCATCAAACTTACTCTCCTCAAGATATCTGACAAGATCTTTGTTGTACAGTGAGTGTGTACAGGTAGACAGGAACATGACAGAAGTATTTTTCAATCCTTTATATGTATTAACAATTCTTTCCAGAAAAGATCCATCTTCAAGTACATCTTGTAAAAATGCCTGGAAACTTTCATCCCTCTCTTCCTGTGTGAAAGGGACTGGGTACATTTTCATAGCAAAATTCTTTGTTGGCTTTATGTACAAACTCATTTCAGGTGCAGTGACGACTATTTCATGTCCCTTCTGCCTGAGACTGTCCAACATTTCCCACATGCTGAGCCAATGACTCCTATCCACTGGCACCACCAGCAGCTTCCCACCAGCAGCCGAACTGAGCACGGACAGGAGCAGAATCAGCGTCACCGCGACTTGTGGATAAAATCTAAACCACATGGTGTTCTTTGCAAAAAAAAACACGGAAGGGACTGAGAGATGCTCAGCCAGAATCTGCCCGCAGGGTAGTACAGGATCTATAAGCACAGCATCAAACTTACTCTCCTCAAGATATCTGACAAGATCTTTGTTGTACAGTGAGTGTGTACAGGTAGACAGGAACATGACAGAAGTATTTTTCAATCCTTTATATGTATTAACAATTCTTTCCAGAAAAGATCCATCTTCAAGTACATCTTGTAAAAATGCCTGGAAACTTTCATCCCTCTCTTCCTGTGTGAAAGGGACTGGGTACATTTTCATAGCAAAATTCTTTGTTGGCTTTATGTACAAACTCATTTCAGGTGCAGTGACGACTATTTCATGTCCCTTCTGCCTGAGACTGTCCAACATTTCCCACATGCTGAGCCAATGACTCCTATCCACTGGCACCACCAGCAGCTTCCCACCAGCAGCCGAACCGAGCATGGACAGGAGCAGAATCAGCGTCGCCGCAACTTGTGGATGAGCACTAAGGACCGGGACCATTTCTGCAGCAATCTGGTGAGTGCTGCCCAGAAAGAAAACCACTGGCAGCACCCAAAGCAATAGCACCAGCTCTGTGCTTTTAAGCAATCTGTGCTACAGCCTAACTTGTGATCTTTGGAGGTATTTGCTGTGTGGTAAATGTATAATCACTGATTTGATAAAATGGTGGATAACAAGCACTAGAGTTCAGAAATCTACGCGGGCAGTTGGTAAATGTGGTGGATGAACCAGATAAGTCCCATATGTTTCTACTAGAAAAGCTTTGGTAGCAATACTGCCTTTGAGCAGGATCTGCCAAGCCACCACAGCCCCCTTCAGGCTCATTGAGATTGATTTTGTTCTCAGATCTCACATAGCCATCACCAGGACGAAATCTTCTGAGGCCTGCCTGTAAACAGAGATGGTGCGTCTTAGCCTGAGAGTCCACAACCTACAACAAAAAAAAACTGTGGAAATAGCCATTTGAAGGAGCAGACAAATTAATTGACAAAGAAAGAAGTGGTAAGGCAGCAAGGGTGCCCCAGGACAGAAGCCTGACATGCATTTCTCCATAAATACCAGACCCTACTACAACCATTTGCAACGTTGTATGGATTATACCTAACTGCAAGGCTTTGACAGCCCCTTAGACCTGCCTGCTGCTCATCCATCACTCACTAAGGGAGGGAGTACTAACTTACTCAACTCTACACAAAATGGCTTTGAATAGATGTAATGAAAAAGGCATTAACTGAGCATACTTCATAAGTGAAAAGATATAGCTGCTACACAGAAAATGGAAAGTGAAGAAGAAAGTGAGAAAAAAAATAATTTATTTCATGAGTATTT